CACTGGGTCCTCCCTTTAACTCGAGAACACCGACGTAATCGCCTTGAGTGGTGCAGACAACGGTCACTCTGGGATCAGGAATGGAACAGTATTGTCTTTAGTGACGAGTCTCGATTTTGTTTGGGCATGCACGATGGTCGTGCCAGGGTTAGAAGGCGACGTGGTGAAAGGAGGAATCCACAGTTTTTTGTTGAAAGACATGTTCATCACACTGTTGGAGTTATGGTTTGGGGTGCTATAGCTTATGGTTCCAGGTCACCTTTACTTTAATCTTCATCAGAGGTAACATGAACGCGCAGCGTTATATCCACGAAGTTCTAGAACCCTATCTTGACACCCTGGCAGATCCAACTTTCCAACAAGATAATGCCCGACCACATGTTGCAAGAGTCACAATAGACTTCTTTCAACATAATGATGTCACATTGTTACCATGGCCACCAAGATCTCCCGACTTATCCCCAATTGAGCACGTGTGGGATATGATGGGTAGGAGATTGCTCAATTTGCAACGTCCTCCTCAGACTCTAGAAGCACTTCGAGAGGAGTTGGTGGTTGCCTGGAATGAGATACCACAGGAGGACATTGACCACTTGATCAGAAGCATGCCTAGACACGTTGGAGAATGCGTAGCACATCAGGGTGCAGCCACACATTATTAAAGGTCAAAGGGCTTTAAAGCAGTGCAATCATTTTGAAATTTTTATCATTTACTTATTATGCTTCATTAAGTACTTATACAAAATTTTATTAAAATAAGACCATTCAAACTGGGTGTTCGGATTTATATGTCACTTAGTATATATAGACAAATATGAATATTTACCTAAATACCTTTAGAAAACGAATTCGTACTTCATTGCTCCATAAATAATGCGTTATTAGTAGAAAAACTAAATTCCTTGTTTTTACGTTATCTGCAATGAACACAATACAAGTCTAAATATAAGCACTTTTTTTATGAGGGACAAAAATATGTAGACAAATTCTTTTCAACATTAGTTTAGTAGAGTTTCGAGTCAGAAGAGTGTTCAACAAGTATTGTGGAATAACTTGAGTGGTCCAGAAATTGCTTTCGATGTGAAAACTAAGATCATTGAGTTATAGCTGAAGCATAAAGCAGTTTGGGCAATATTTTTTTTTTTGCTTTAGGACCAGGCCATGCAGCCAGAAACTAGGTTGTATATTTATATTTCAAATTATGGACAAACACACGACGTCACAACATCCATGGCGAAGGCGAGATTCGAACTCGCGGCCCGGCCGGCCGGCTGATCAGTAGCACGACACTCTGACCCACGCGGCCAACCGAGGTCCCACTGGGCAATATTGAACAAATATAAACAAAAAGGTATCTTGGAAGCGTCTAGGAGAAGTGGTGGACCTAGAAAACTAAATGCTAGATCAATTAGATTAATAAAAGTAATTTCGTCCAAAGATCCGTTTAAAACCCCAAGAGAAATAAAAGCTGAAATCGAGACAAAAGGTTTCTTTCTATTTCTTTCTACGAAAACTATGAGTAGAAGATTTAATGATTTGAAGTTATTTGCACGTCGTCCCATATAAACGTCATTGAAAATCTATGGGGATACTTTGATAAGCAAATACGAGATAAAAATTATCCAAACAAGGATGCACTTTGTGCCGCTGTAGAGCAAAAGTGAAGACAGATTGATGAATCTTATATCAAGAAACTTCTACAATCTATGCCGAGACGATGCCAGGCGGTGATTGATATATGATATACGTTATAATTCAATGAACTTTGCTTCTTTTTTCTATAATTGTTTTGCTTTATATATTTTTGTCCTTCATAGTTCCAGTTTCTTTCAATTAAATTTTTATTGAATTTATTTATGTATAAGTGAGTATTGTGCTATAACGAATTATGTGTACAGGTTGGTGTATTAATAAAACAAGTTAAAAAAGAAATACAGCACAATATTAATTTGTCTATATACTTTTGTCGATTACATTACTGTAGGTGATTTTTGGTATATCAACTTTTTTTGACGACTTCTACAATCTGTTAAAATAAATGACTCAACTTTGAAAACACCCTGTATATGTTGCAATTATTATAACTACAAATAACCGTGAGCTCCACGAAAAACAAATATCTGTTAGCAAGTAAATTGATTTGGTAGTCAAGAGAAATCACCTCGGGTTTATCGACTTTATATTCTGTGAGTGAACATATGAATTTTGGAACATCTAATTTTTACTATTACCAGAAGTAGCAAAAAATTGAGAAACGCTGATTCTTATCTAATGGACGGCCTCGTAACCCTTTCGCACTGGCGGGCCGTCGGCGATCCAGCTCTCTTGTACCGCTACGAAAACGGGCTTAGCTCCTCAAAGCCGTCGCGCGATGTGCCTGCCACACAGACCTGCCTGACTTCAGCCCCACGTCCTAACCGTGTCGAATTTCGTACATCCAGAACTGGCCTATATGACCGCTTCTTGGTCCCTAGAGTATCGAGATTGTGGAACAATCTACATGAGGAGCCTTTTCTCAGTTCTACTAACTTTAGGCAGTTCAAAAATCGAACTAACACATTTTTTTAAGCTCCTCATAGCAGCCACCGTGTCCTAGCATTTAGGCTTCTGCCTCAGTGGCTGCTTCAGTGTAAAAAATAGAGTTTTTGAATCTCTAAAACAAGTTTGTTGACGGTTAAAATTATCGGAATATCATTTTTACCATTTTTGAATTTGTAGAGAAAGTGGTTTTGACATGGAAGAACACAACAATTTCATCAGTACAACTCGAACGGACGAATGCAGCAGTTGTTATTATTAAAACTTTTCTAACTTATGTGTGGAAAATAAAAGATGATCCTACACCACCTTCGAGATGTTAAAAATGTCTTGGAACATCAAATCTTACGAAGATACGTTCATGAACCAGATATGATGAAACATTTTTTTTTTTTTCAGATACATGCACGAGGGTGCTGATCCAATACCGTGCAAGGTTTGTGGCAAGACATTTTTCAGAAATGAAGATATTCAGCGACACATGGTTTGCCATAGCAACGAAAAACGTAAGTTACTTAAATGTTATGCAGTTTCTTTGTAGTAGCTCAGGAATAACAATAACCTTTATCCGCAAATACATATGCTATGCAACAGCTGTAAACCACTTGTGATACAAATAGTGTCAACCAAACAAAATTAGGGGTAATATCTTACTTTAAAACATATTATTCAAACCTGCCTTAAGAAATTTATCGATTGTATATTGTTCTAGATTTAGTGATATTTTATATAATATTTTTTTAAATGCACTTAGTTTTACAATCTTTTTCACAACTTCTGGTAAATGGTTAAAGAGTTTTAGACAATAGAGGTCCTTTTTCAAATAGTGCAAATCTATGCTTAGGATAAATATACTTAAACACTGTGAACAGTCGCTTATTTTAAAATAGATAGATACACAGGGTGTCCAACAAGTACCACGACAAACTTAAGGAGAAGGTAGGCTTTGGACTGACCTCTCAAATAACAAAAACTTACCTATATAAAAGTGTCACCGTTTTTGAGATATTGAATTTTTTCTTAAAATTTAAAACGAAATCTGATTTTTCTTCCAGCTTTTCAGATTCTTGGAACTCCATTTTCATCTGGTTAACTGTATCTGCTGCCGAGTCAGCTTCCAACCCAGGCTCTAATTTCTCTTCAACTTTAATTCTAAAATGGTTATAAAAAGGACGTTTAAATACAAGACGGTCAATCTACCAGATGATTCAAAAAGGTTCCCAGCTATTTTTTGAATGGGGTGACTAAGTTCATGCACGAATACTATATTTTAGCTTTTTTAACTATATTTATCCTAAGCATAGATTTGCGTTATTTGAAAAAAGACCTCTTTACAATTGTCTAAAACCTCTTAACCATTTACCAGCAGTTGTGAAAAAGACCGTAAAACTAAGTGCATTTAAAAAAATATATGGAATATTACTAAATTTAGAACCATATACAACCAATGACTTTTTCAAGACAGATTTGAATTATAATATCTTTATTTGTAAATACAAATGCTATACAACAGATGTAAACCACTTGTGATACAAATAGTGTCAACCAAACAAAATTATATATTTTTTTAAATGTACTTAGTTTTATAATCTTTTTCACAACTGCTGGTAAATGGTCAATGAGTTTTACACAATTATAAAGAGGTCCTTTTTCAAATAGTGCAAATCTGGGCTTAGGATAAATCTAGTTAAAAAGTCTAGTATGGTTACTTGTAGGCTCATTAACTGTGAACATTCATTATTTTTAAATAGATTGCACTCTTGAATGAACACTCCAAAAACTATCGACATGCTGAATTGCTTTAATTTGCCTCTACATGATTCGTTCAACTTCAAACTTAAAATATTACTCCATATTCTCTTTTGTATTACAAAAATTCCATCAAAGTCACTACAGCTTCCGAATAACATAATTCCATAAATTAATCTAGATTCAAAATTTGAGTGGTACACAATTTTCAAAGTGTTTCTATCCAAATATTAAGCAATTATTTCTTAAATAACTTATATGGTTGTCTCACCTGAGGTGACTAATTCAAGACCAAGAAATCTAGTATTGCCGACACTGTTACTGTTCTACCATTAAGACAAATTGATTTTGAGAATTTCCTCTACAGTGAGTAGCTCGAAAAACATAGCACAAGTCTTTATTAAGCATTAGTCTGTTGTTAAAAAACCAGGTTTGTACATTATCGATATTATATTCCCCCTCATCACCTGCATTCTCAGGATCTGTAGCAGTTATCAGCGAATTTGTGTCATCTGCATACTTCGTGATTTTGCATACATCAGGTTTGATACAGGTGTCGATGTCATTTAAAAAAAATTATCAACAATGTGGGACCTAATATACTGCCCTGAGGCACCCCTGTTTTAATATTAAGCTCATTCGAAATAGCTGTTTCATTACGTGCCAACAGTTTTACTTTTTGCTTACTATTGCTGAGGTATGATTCTATTCAAGGAAGTGATGGTCCTCTAAAGCCATATCTTTCTAATTTTTGCAATACAGTGGACCTCCGGTAATCCGACAAACATTATGCAGATCAGTGTCGGACTATCGAATTTGTCGGATTATAGAGCACTGCCTAAGACCCCCTATAGTCCGGAATTTTTTACAAAAGAGTACCTTGTAATCCGACAAATTACATATCCAGTGGTAAGATTATGTATACATATATGTTATGCATATTTATGTACTTTGAAGTACAAATCATACATAGTTTATGCATGTTGAATTTAATTAAATAACAATAGAGAGCTTACATTTTATTATAAAATTAAGCATAAATGCACATACATATGTACCAAAATAATCAAGAATTATTAATCAAAATCATTAATGAATTTATCAAATTATGAAGCTTGGAAATATTCATCAATTTTTGTTTGTTTAAGGTTGTTATTACGCGAGATCAGAGCTTTGTCCCTCAGTCTTCTCAAAAGTAAAAGTTCGTTGTAGGATGTACCATTCTCTTCAGCCCATTGTAAACTTAGCTCAAAGGCGTTAATTGCGTCTTGTGCTGTGACTTGTGGAGCAGTTGCAATCACGTCGTCGTTATTTTCCTGATTGTTTGTTGTATAATTAGGAACCTCTTTTATAATCTCTTCGTCAGACATTTCATGAAAAACATTTTCCTCTTTAACCATTCCACGGCACCAGATTTCCAAATCTTCCGGACTTATCTGTGTTTCAGTAGCGACTTGTTCTATAGCTTCGGAAGTAACACTGATTTGTGGAACGTTGCTAGGAGTGGTGACTATATCGAAGCCATAACTTTTTCCAAGACGATTTAATAGTTGATGACGGTAACGCATTCCACGACTGACAAAGAGCATATTAAATTCTTTTAAAGTTTTTTCTATTGGTTGGTCTTTGATACGACTCTTTGAAGTAGTCTTGCTTGACAAACTGAATGAATGATATTCTGGTCCATTGTTTGAATCAGTGCAGTGCAATTTGGCGGAAGAAACATCGCAGTGATGCATTTATCCTCAGTTGTTAGTTCTTCTTCAGACGGATGACCGGGAGCGTTATCAATAAGCAACAACGCTTTTTGAGGAATATTATGATCTTTTAACCAGTTTCTAACTTCAGGTACGAAGCGCTATCAAACCACTTTCTGAAATGGTGTTTTGTCATCCATGCACTTTTTTGTCCGTAATAGTGTACAGGTAAATCAATGTTTTTGAATGCCCGTGGTTTATTAGATTTCCCAATGAACATCATCTTAAGCGCGTTTGTGCCCGCAGCGTTAGCACATGGTAGTATGGTTACACGCTCTTTACTTACTTTTCGTCCAGGTACGGATTTTTCGTTACAAGAAACGAAAGTTTTGTTATTTATCATACGCCAAAAAAGCCCTGATTTCAAGATTTAAATCGTTCACCTTTTGCAAAAATCTTAATTTAAAGGGCTCTATGCAGGTGGCATCGTTAGCAAGTTTTTCTCCTGTAATAGTCATTAAACGTATGCCATGACGACTTTTAAAACGTTCTAGCCATCCTTTGCTGGCCACAAAATCATCTTTTTTTGTTATTTCCGTATAAAAAACTTAGCTTTCATGGCCAACATGGGTCCTGAAATTGGTGCATGCCTATTTCTTTCCTGAAGAAACCACATGAGCAAAGCTTCTTCCATTTCTGGATGTTCCGCTTTCTTGAGTGTCTGTTTCTTGCCTGGCCCGCAGTCAGTAGTGGACACGATCTTCTTGCTCTTCTCGTAGTTTCTTTTAATGTCATAAATTGTAGATCGGCCTACGCCGTATTCACTTGCTAAACTACTGAAAGTTTCATTGCGATTTAAGCGGTCTAAAATATCACATTTTTCTTTAATTGTCAATGTTTTGTGCTTTCGCTTCTGAGTTTGTGATGACATTACTAGGTACTATACTTAATACACAATGAATAAATAGTAAACAATGAACGCACGCTAGGCCGTACCGCTATCACCAGTAGTCATATTCAAACTATGTAAAACAATGCTTACGCGTCTAGCACGATAGCGGTGGCGCGTCCAAGTTGTAACCTGTACAAACTTGCGTGACCTACATTAGCGAAGATTGTCAAATACGTATGTATGTAATACATATTCAAAGACATGTCGGATTACAGGGGGCGCCGGATTAAACAGGGGCCGGATTATCGGGGGTCCACTGTAATATATTGTGATCTAGGCAGCCATATGCTTCCGTAAGGTCAAGAAAGATATCTAGTAGACTCTTATTGTTGTCCAAGTCTACTACAATATTCTCAATAAACTTATAAGCAGCTGAAAGAGTTGATTTTTCCCTTAATATAACCATGTTGTTTCCTTTATCAGGTCATTTAGAGCAAAAAAAAAACAATATTCTGTTATTCATTACCATCTCAAATATTTTTGAATAAACTGATAACAAGCTTATAGGTCTTAAACCATCAAAAGATGACAAATCTCCTTTATTCTTATAAACTGGAATGACAGTGCTGTTTTAACTGATCAGGATAAATACCATATTTCAATTTATTATTGTTAATAAATACCAATGGATCTACAATGTAACCAATGCAATTTTTTATGATTATGCTGGATATATCATATTCACCACTATTCTTTTTATTTTTCAACCATTAGAAAATTTCAACTACTTCAGCTTTGAACATAAAATTCGTTCAAGAGTGCATTCATAAACAGGAAAGTTGTATGTCTTTAAATGGTAATTGGTTTCGACGCCCGGTATAGTTTACTGAATTGGAGTTGCTGCTGGTATAAGAACAGAGTTAGGTGGTTTTGAGGCCGAATTTCTTATATTGTCATCTTTCTGAGAAGAGTTTGAGATTTTTGGGGAATGTTCTAATAAACTGAAGGCTGCTGTTCCAGGGTCCTTTCTCGAAGATCAGCGGTTCGCAGTAGATCAGTGACATAACTGACAATTTTTTGTCACTGGTGACCCAGTTCTCTACATTAAAAAAGCTATGCTAAACGAAAGCAAAAACGAAAATAGAAACACAAGAAATGCCGAAAAAGA